CGTGCACGGCCTGTGCCTCCCACTCACGTTCAGCCCTCTGATTCCCATATCGCCCACTCACTACCACCAGCAGGCATTAGCATAACAGAGCTACAGCGTGACTTTGATTGAAGCCAGCTTGGGCTGAATGCAGTATCAAAGCATAATTTAACAGAAATCAAATCTAATTTACTGTGCATTGTATTTAAATTCTCAAAACACAGTTTCAAGTGAACTGCCCCAGACCTCTAATCTAAATTGACCTTTTTGTATTTGGGTCTACTTCTCTGGAAATCATACAACATACTTTTCTTAGAGAGCTATTGTTTTTTAACTTGTAAGTGTTGATTAAACACTGAATTTTACCATACTGTTTGCTTTATTTCATTTCTAGTTACAGCTGAAGCAATCAGGTATAATCACCTCACAGATTAAGCAAGTAGGATATTACATCATAGTTACAAAATATTTGTCCAGTGCTTTCAGGTTTTAGACAGAATATGAATATCTATTTTATAGTCTTCTTAGAGACATATAAAAGAATTGCCATTTTTGTAACGGGCATATTCTTCTGGAGCTTATGACTCAATCTCTTTAATTCACATTGGGTTTAAATGTGTGTTTGGAATTGTCATCTTGAGGACCTAATTGTGTGGTCTTTTTATATTTAGTGGGAGTCATTACAGAAAATCTATTTTATGTATAGCACACTTTGTGTATTGTGCTGTGTTGATAAAATGGCACCTCTGTCTCCTCCCTCCCATTGATGTCATCAGCCAACTACTGTCTTTTCAGACCATTTTCAGTGCCACCTGGCAGAGATACTGAAACTGTGGAGTATTATCGGAAGAACTATTGATGCAATTTTTCATTTAAAACCTCAAAAGTAAATTCCTTCAGCTGACATCCCTTCACGAAAGATTGCAATATAGATCTTGGGTAGAGAGAGAGTCTACAAAAGTAAAAGTGATTGATGCAATCCGTTTCTTTGTTCCACCTTCAGGTGATTGTAGGAAAGGATGTATATTTTCACAGACTTGAACACTCTTCAAATTTTTTGCTTTGATAAATGTTTCTATATTTTTAAGTTTTTTAATTAAAAAATAATAAGACGATTTTAGTTCCAGCAAGATCAATGTGGCATAAGTTCAGGTGACAATAATCTGTTGGATGCATTTGAAATACAGCACATTTACAACTTGGAGTAAATGTACAATATAAGTAAACATCACATGAAAATATATTTTATAAGATAAATAACATAGATGCTGACAGTTTTTTGTTAGCGGTCTTTCATGTATCCAGAATTGGATAAAAGCTCTAGAAATTAGAATTTCCTGGCCTTTTTAGATTATACTGTCAGTGGTAAATATCATGCTGTGAATTTGCAGAATTTCTTTGTCCTGTAGAAGTACTGATGAAATGTTATCTTTAGGTGCTCCTATAAATATAAATTCTCAACTGCATTTTCTGCCTCAAATTGCAAACATTTCCCAGCTCTTTGACTTTACTGTTTCTCCAATCCTCATCTACACTGCTTCCAAAGCACCCTTTCCAAAATATAAATCTGATTATATCTTTCTTACTAAAATGTCTTTGAACAAATCTTCATAAAGACAAAATGTGACACTCCTTTAGCAGAGATGATCTGGCCCTATCTATATCACCTCTAGGTCCCAGATTTCTTTTATTGTCAGAATCTTTCACACACCCCTAAAAATCCAGTTCAATGGGTCTCTGCCTTGTGTACTGCTTCTCTTTGTCCCAAGTGACCTTACCGCTCTTCACCTAGTCAACTCTTTCTTGTCCTCTGAAGTACAGCTCTAGTGTAGCCATGTCCTGGAACCTTTTCTCTTTTTTCCCTCACAGCATGGCCTGATTGGTTCTGTTCTACTCTTTCTCCCCTAATGCCTTCTGCGTTTTTTCTGTTTTCACTCAAAAATCACATTTTGCTATATTTGTATATTTATTTATATGTTTACTTGGAAGCCTCTGCCATAGGGCAAGAGCAATTTTATTTGGCTTCCCATTTCCTGTACCAAGCAGAATGCATCATTATACTGGCTGATCAATACGTTTTGAGTGAATAAATGGATGAATTATGTCTTTTCAGAAAAGTGGATGCATAGATGTGGTCATTTGCCAGTCCTTATTTTGGGGACTGTATTTTAGCAGCTGGGTTAAAATTGTAGTATCTGGATGTCAAGAGCATTTTGCAATACCACTCATCTACAAAAAAAAATTTTCAAAAGTTTTAAAATTAAATTCATGGAAGTCTGTACTTCTAAAGTACAGATGGTAATTTTACTGATATAGACTGGTAATTTTACTGGACAGATAGATGAAGAATAATGTGCTTAAAAATATAAAATATATAAATATATGCTTATATTTCATGATTTTATTTCATAATGTCAATCATGTGTATTTCCATTTAATTTATTTTAAAAATTTGAAAGGAAGGACTAGATGGAATATCCAGGACTCCAAGGTTTTACTAACTACTTATGTGAAGTAATTTAAATTCTTTCTGGTCAAAAGCAGTATAAATTAACTAATAAGCTAAATAGGTGATTTTTATTCAAGTCTTGTAAATGATTGATTTTGACTGAACTGAGTTTTGAATTTTTAATAATTTTAGATACATGGTAGTTTATTTAATACCTCTCACTTAGCAAGTGTCCATATTGACACTATTACTTTTCTTTATAGGATTACAAAGAGATACCATATACTCATTCCTAACTTTTTCATAACAAAGATAATTTTTCTACAGTATTCCAGATTATCGACACAAACCTTAAGCCTTTTTTTGGTACAAATACCTGGTTTCACATTTCTACTGAAAAATGGTCACTGCAGTGTTTTAAGAGTTTTCTTTAAAGTAATTTTGTAACATTGTTTAAACTATCATTTTATTAGAAAACATTAGAAACAAAAATCAATGTATTTGCTGATTCAGGAAAATTGTATAGAAATAACAAGAAGATTGTTAAAAGCAAGTAATCTTCTGAAAATTCAAGGCAATGTATACCACACTCTGTCCAAACAGATTCATAAATCTGGATTCTCCATACTGCTAGAATGAGTCTTCTGTTATCTATAGTTATAGAAGAAAATTTCACTTAGTAGATTTATCCCATTTGTCCCTGGGGGATGTGTTAGATGCGTTGAACTAGGAGGCAGTATAATAGAACATAAAAAATAAGTCTATACAAATCCCAATGAATTGTTTGGAAAAATGCTGCTGCTTTTTCTATGCTAGCATTCTTGCAAGGATGAGGACCTGGTTGCATGTTTGGGGCTGCGGTACATTTACCTCATTCCTGGACCTACACTTCTTTTCCCCTGAAGGATTGACATGATTTCAGGTGACAGTTTTTACCAGACATCACTTATTGTTCGAGGGCTTTAGAGTACCACTGAGTCCTAAAAATTACAGTTGATTTTAAAGTGTTTTCTTGGTCTCAGTTTTCTAGCCTAAGCAGCTAGTTAAAGTAAAAATCAATTGTTAGAAGATCCATGGAATGCACAGTGTTTTCTGTTCAACAAAAATGCGTTTTGGTAGGGAGATGCCCCTATGAAAAATTCCAACGACACCGCGTACCGTCTTTCACTTTATTCTCTCTCATTATCATTAGACCACCCTTTAAATCTGAACTTTCTTAGGATTTTTACCCCTATTGCTTTGTTTTATTTTCGAATGTAATAAAGGAATTACTTATGTCTTGATCTCGTTAGCTTCATCTGAACCGTTTTGCTGGGTTCCAGCAGACTCCTTGTTTTATAGACTAAGCGCCTTTCCCTCCAATCCGTGCTACATTCATTAGAGGGTAAAAGCTGCCAAAAATTATCCTTCGCATCTGTCACTTTTCAGCTTAGAAAAGGTCAGAATAAAATCCTCAGTTTGACTTCTTAAACCCTGCGTTGTAGCCACAAGCGTTTACCTAACTTGGGCCCTCCATCCTGCCAAATTACACACTGTTTCCTAAGTTTGTTCTTGCTTCTTATACGTTGCTACATAATCTCCTGGTTTGGAATGTGTTCATTTTTCCATTTACCTCAAAGCTCCCATAATGCCCATTTTCTACACAGAGCCTTCCATAGGTTTGACAACACAAAGGGATTTCTTTTTCCTAAGCCTCACTAAATTTATTATACATACAAAAACTTAAGTTCTCCTCCACTGTGCTCTGAGATTATCTCTACCATTGCACTTACGGCAGTCTTAGCAAGTGTTGATTTAATTTTGTTTTCACTTTTGTCATTGTCATTGTGTTTTTCATTTCCATTAGACTACAAGCGTCTTGATGGCTGCAGAATAAAAGCGTTCCATCTCTGTATCTTTAGTGCTCAGGAGGGGAACATAGTAATTACCTGACTAATGTTTATCTATCTAAATGAAATAAATTAGATTGAGTCAACCATTTTAATACATTTATTTACATTGCTGATTATCCTTGTATGTAATTTCCATGTCTTCAATTCTTCAATGTCTTTAATCTTTCAACTCTTGGATACTAGAATATAAGTAAGTTAAGAATAGAGATCGTGTTTTACACCTTCTGGTATCCCTGTGCCTTACATAATTCTTGTAGTTACTACAAAAACAACCAATGTTTATCAATAGATTGACTTTAGAGGAAGGAGATGATCGAATAAGAGAGTGATTCTTTTTTATCTTTATTTATTTAAAAAGCAGAACCAACTTAAGCATTCATGTTTTTCCTTAAAAATGTTAAAATCATAAAAAAACTAATTTCCTATGCAAGTATCTATAGGCCAAAGGATTGCAATGTACAACATTTAAAGCATGTCTGCTAAAAATCTGCTTCTTTCCTCACATTTGAGTGAATATAATGTCTTTCTTTTTGTGTTTAGAGAAGTGTATAAAGGTAAATAAAAAAACTGTAGTCTCTCTCTGGCACTGAGCAATCAACATAGTACTATATTTTCTCCTTGATATATTTTTCTTTGTCAATGGTTGATATTTACACACTTTCTTTTCTTTTAAATTATAGCTCCCCCACAGTTTGTGGTTCGGCCAAGAGATCAGATTGTTGCTCAAGGTCGAACAGTGACATTTCCCTGTGAAACTAAAGGAAACCCACAGCCAGCTGTTTTTTGGCAGAAAGAAGGCAGCCAGGTGAGTATGAGGCTTCACTGCTTTTCTGAAATCTCTGAACTTCCCCTGTCTCTGCTGCGCCTCAAAGCTTGCCTTGCTTCTCTTGTTCTCAATGTTTGAATTTATTTTATTTCTGAAAAAGAGACTAATGAGTTTAAAAATAAGTGGGAGTCAGATGTTCTAGTAATAGCATTCTTTATTTTCTAGTACTAATTTTTTCAAAATTCTGTCTCTTACACAGAATAGTAATAAAGCAGTATAACAAAATTACCTTTAAAAGTCCAACTGAAACCTCTGTAGCCATTTAAAATCTGTGAATGTAAAGCTAATTTTGTTTTCTTGCATTGAGTTAAGTGGTATGATAAAGTCAGGACATATGCAGTCTCTGTGATATGGAAAATATTTTTTTTAATTGGCCCAGAATTTAATTTCAATCCTCTCTCTTAGATATGCAGCATATATGACTTTTCTTATCCTTAATTAAAGCATGCTTCCGTTTAAGAGTAGGATAAATATTTTCTTCGCTGTTCTTCCTGGATTCATCCATAGTGGGGTTAGACAGTAAATAATACACAGTACATTAGAAGGAACCCATAGCTGTCTTGTCTTTGCTCTGCTCTGGTTTGTCCTCTCCAGCTCCCACTCTGGGAAACATAGCCTCTCAGAGTCTCTATGAAAAGTCAACTGGATACACTAGTTTTCTCATTTAGAACTTGGTCCAGACTTGGACAAGTGCTCAGCCTCTAGGTTCATAGGCAATGAGTGAAATTTCCAGCTTAAACTAGATCAAAAATTGTGTTATATGCCTAAGAATTTATCTGTGCATTCCTATGGGACCTGGAGATATTTTCATTCTAAACTTTCTAGAAATATGCACTTCTAGGCCAATTCTGAGGAAGAGACCTACTCGTGGTCTTCCTTATCACTTTTTGTTATTACTACATGTTCCAGAAAAAGTTTGGGGGAAATAATGGAAATCATTATTAAACATCTCTGGAAATCTAAAACCTTGGCCAGAGATGGGAAATGTAAGTTGCATTTGAAGACTCTGTTGATTAAAGCTTATATATGTTTATCTGCAACATGCATATGTGCAAGGAAACCTTTAGAAGTTCTGCTCAGCTGTTACCTCTTAATTGTTGTGGGTTTCTATAAATTCCTGTACAGCTCCCAGCTAGCAGTTCTAACAGCTGAGTCTTGATGGACAAATGGCCTTTTATTCTTTACTCAACTCTCCTCAAATCTCCTCTTGGGATTTGTGGAATGTAAATGTAGTGATGGGAATGTAAGGAAAGATAATGGCCATTGCCTTATCCCACATCAGAACTGTTCCAGGCCTTAACTCTCAAATCTTCTTTATAATTTAGTAATTAGAAAATAGGTTTCTACACATAGAGTCCTTTGACTCTTCGCTTTTAAATTCTTTTCAGATGTTAGTGTCTCAGACTCTAAAGTGAGTGTAAGGCAACATGACAGTTAAACACACACACACACACACACACACATAGACATATATACATATACACCCACATGGCGAGACAGGCACACACATACACACAGACACACCACACAGACACACGCATGTACCACACACATACACAAAGACACACATACACACACATGCACACACATAGAAACACACACATACACACATACATACATATACACACACATAGACACATACACACAGATACACACATACACATATAAATGCACATATACACATATACAGAAAAAGGAGAGAATTCAAAATCCAGTTTCCACCTTATAAATTGTACAACCTTTGTAGTGGTATTTAAGTTTGCTGAAGCTCATTTTCTTAATCTTAAATACAGAGCTAATACATGTTACTTCACACAAGTAAAGTTTAAATGAATCAGTCGGTTTACATATAAAATTGCTTTACACATTACGCAGGTTAAGCAAGATGTTGTGTCACTGATAGTAAATATGATGTAAAGCAATTTGATCATTGCATATTTACACTTTATATCCATGTATTGAATGAAGTCTCATTATAACGTGCCTTTTTAGTATATAGATAAAACCATATCATGTGTAAATCACATCCCCTAAAGTGGCTCCAAGTTGAATTACAAGGTAGTTCATAAAATGTGTATTGGCCTTGTAGTTTAATAAACATGGTATTTAAATATGCTACATTTTTTGTAATGGTTTCAAAATAAATAAAAAATAGCATTCCTTTTTTTGCATTTAACAAAATAGCATATAATTCTAGATATGTTAATGTTAAAGATTACACAAAATCTTATGGCTAGTTTTCTTTTCCTCACCTATCTCTCTCCCATCACAGAGACAGGGGTAGAGATAGAGAGGGATGGGGTGAAAGAAGGAGAGAGAGAAAAAAAATACTGTGAATGATAACAAGAGATAAGTGCTTGAGCAAATTTTCAAATCATGAATTGGAATATTGGGAAAAAATAAATTGGTCTTACTATCTCTAGTATCCAGTTTTTACAGTGATCTATGACCATCCATCAGTAGAAACAGTTAAAAGCCTGGACTTAATGGTCCATATTCCTCAATATATGCTGATAATGCCAATTAGCTCTAATAGGATACCCAGGCACTCTCCAAGGCAGGAAGAGCTGTGAAGTTCCCAGCTTTTCTTGCAATCCATTTTCTTTTGCCTATGTCATGTAAGCAGGGAATAAAGCTGATGGGTTAACCTTCATGTAATGCCATTTTCCATGTCAAAGAATCATTTAGAAGGTGGACTGATGGTACATCGTAGAGGATGAGATCCCATGGAGAATAAAGCCCCTCTGATGTATTAGTGCTATGTAAATTAGTATTCTAACAGCTAATTGTAGGAAAGTGTGCACTTTGAGTTATTGTATCATTTTCAAATGACTTGAAAATTTAGATTCTCTCTTTTAGCTGCTTCATTTTGGTAATACATTTGGAATCTACAGTAGAATCAGCTGATTCTCAAATTGTGTTTCATATGCATGAAAATGTCTAGCCTTATACAGTAGTACACATTTTATGAGGTCAATAGCATATCGAAATTACATTTCTGACATGCTACCAAACATCACTCCTTTTAGAAGGAGTTTAATAACATGGTAATGTTTATGTAAAGTGGGCTTATACTGTCACACTTGAATCTAATAAAGTGGACATCCATCATGTTGCAATAAAGAGAAGAGCTTCTAATTAAAGTGGGACATCATTTGCTGGATTAAAGTCATTTAGCATAATTGAAAAGTGTTAATACCCTATTTTATCCTCTTCCATTGGTATTACTTCAAGGGTAAAAACATTTTAAGGTGAAAATGTGTCCTGTGCCTTTAATTGAATGTTATTACCTCCTGATTGCAACGTATTGAAACTGTTTAATTACAAACCTGGAAAATTAATTACTATATGGAGAAACAGATCCCAGAGGGTTATTATGTCCTTTTTTGTAAGTAAATACAACATAAAAATTGATATCTTCTTATTTATAATCCAACTTGGAAACATGCCTCAATATAATTTATTATACTCAAATGTTTTTCTTAATTGAACAACAGTAAAGCAACATAGTTCATCCAAATTAATGTTACTCCTCTCATAGCGGAACTTTTACAAGTTGTGATTAGGCAATATATTTTTAATAAGAGATATAGCGTAAACTAAAGTAATATTGTTTTTAAAAGAAAGTAATACTATGAAATTGTTTAAGGTATACACTTTTAGAAAAATTCTACATTTTCTTTTTATCTACAGTAATTTGTTTAATCTTGCTTAGAATGTAACATTTATTCGTAGCTCCATTCAAAGCTGCAAAAACTTTATAGCAGTAGAGTCAGCTCTCTGTCACACACTTTTGAACAACTTCGGGAAAAATTCAACTGAGTCCATCAAGTATTCAAATGATTAACGGCGATTATATTTTGCATTCTTCAGGGCTGTGCTGTTTATAGAACCCATACACAATTAATGTTATGGCCAGATCTTCATAAGGTCTTCAAGTTGAGTCAGATTAGAGCTGTTTTGCCCATTTTCCAGGTGAAGAAACCAGTTTCAAAGACATTAAGTAACTAGCAGAAAATCAGGCTGGGATAAAGATCCCTATTCTTTAAAAACAAAAATGTCTATACTTTCAGCTAGCAGATATTGACATTTTGGATGGTATTATTTCACCATGAATTGGAAAAAGTTTATCAATCAATGAAACCCACTGTGTGGCATTAAACATTTCTGTGCCATATATTTTTTAATCTATGTATTTTCTTTTTCCCATTATGTTCGCTAACTGTAGTAGCGTTTATTAACATTGTTTTAAGTAAAAAGAATACTGATGAGATTGTGTTTGCTTCCACAGAACCTACTTTTCCCAAACCAGCCCCAGCAGCCCAACAGTAGATGCTCAGTGTCACCAACAGGAGACCTCACAATCACCAACATTCAACGTTCCGACGCAGGTTACTACATCTGCCAGGCCTTAACTGTGGCAGGAAGCATTTTAGCAAAAGCTCAGCTGGAGGTTACTGATGGTGCGATATCTTTATTCAATTTCTCTTATGAAAACAATGATTTTTATTTCTAGATACACCTTAATCATGTGGAGCTTGCCGATTTGTTAAATCATCTCTGTGCATGCTTATCTTTTCACTTTGAATCCAAGTCACATTTTTTTAGTAGTTTCTAATTCTCCCTGATTGAATACCAGTTATTTTTCCTAAAGAAGAACTTCAGAGACAAAGTATTTAATTCTTAAAAATAGAATAGTGCATTATTTTAAATAAGTGTTATTACACTCACTGCACATTAAAATATAATCTGTATATCTTTATTTAGATTTTATGCTGACATGATTTGTTCTACTAGACATTCATAATTTTGTTTTACTCTAGGAGGAGGTGATGCCACTTTTAATATTATCAGAGATGAGTTTTCAGTTAGCTAATCCCATGAGGACATTCCTATGACTTTAATTATTCACTTACTAAGTTAAATTAACTACCTTTCAAAGTGCTGAAGAATGCTAAAATTATTTTTGTTTGTACATATGCACTTTGAATCTTAACTGAGGCACCTACATTCATAGTGAAAGTTGAAAAGGATGAAGGATTCTGCATAATCTGATTTTTTTTTCCCCAGCAGCTTATTTGTCACAATTGACAGCTAGCGAGTTTGAGTTATTTCATGAACCTCTGAGCATGAATTTAATCCCTATTCTTTGATGTCTTAAATTGAAAATTCTTTCTTACTTTCCTCTATTTGTGAGGATTTTTATTTTTGTTTTCTCCCCTAATGCTGGCTTCTGAGATATAAGTGCTATGGTCTGTGGCCTCTCTTGATCCCCTTCTTTATCTGCTGGTGAAATTTGATGTGCTTTCATACAATTCAAATTTACATGTAGATTAAAAGGTCATTCAAAATTAATAGAAAGGCAGTATTTTTTAATATCTGTTCATGGTATGGCCTGATTCAGTGACATGTCAGGAATGGGAATAAATAGAACAGACAAACATTGGCTGCAGGGACATTGAGTCGTTAATGGCTGCACCTGCTGATGCTGCAGAGATTTACTGCTATGAAACTAAAAGGAGAAGTCAGGTTCAAGGGTAGCAGTGATGAGAAATTCTTCTTTAGATGGGCAAGGTCTTTGATTCTCTGTACCTCCATATTTCTTTAAAAGAATAAAAGGTAATTATTAATCATTTTAAAGATCTTATGATTTCACCTGTCAGCAAAAATGTCCAGATATATACACTTGAAAAATAAGATATTGTGGTCAAAGCCTACTTTTATTCTAGTCCTAAGAACACTCCAAACATAATGCTTATGATATTGGCTCTCATTTAGCTACTTTTACAATATTTTATGGAAGATTGACTCTCAAATATTTCTAAATGAAGAAATTGTTATGGAAAAGGCAAATCATATTTGTAGAAAGAAAAACTGATGAACTAAAAGAGCCAATTATTGTGACTTATATGGTTCATAAAACAGGTAGATATTCAGGATTACGTCTGATACAATAAGTGGAAAACCTTTGAGACCTTACACTAGTTCATGATATCTCACAAACCAGTAGTTATTCTAAATTTCCTTCTGGTCAAAAATAAGTGATAACCAACTTTAAATCTACCCACTGAGATGGCTCTGGCCACCTTGCTACAACTGGCTTGGATATTAATTCCTATATTGATTTTTACTTGAGTAAGGAATTACAAAGTCAAGATCCTTTTGCAGACACATTGATTGGAAGTTACAGTGTTGTTGATGTTGACAGTAAATACATGAAACTATAAGAACTAAATATATACACACAAATTATAAATGCATCTGTCTATAAAACTGAAGTTGCCACATTGGCTCATACCTTAAGCTTCTATTCATAGTTTTGATTTTTCATATTGGTTAATAATTTAATAATATCTGAGCCATTATTTTCATTTTGAACACATTTATTTCTATAATAATTCAGGGAATTTTAGAGCCATTTGCAATTCCATGGTAGAATGAAAACCTATGTCATGTTCAGAGTAACAAATGATTACATGCATACCTTGTTTTATTGTACTTTGCAGATACCAAATATTTTACAAATTGAAGGTTTATGGCTACTCTGGGTCAAGCAAGTCTATTGGTGCCATTTTACTAATGTCATGTGCTCACTTTGTGTCTCCATGTCACATTTTGGTAATTCTCACAATGTTTCTAACAATTTCATTATTATTACATCTGTTATGGTGGTTTATGATCAGTGATCTTTGAAATTGCTATAATTTTGGGGGGTTACTACAAACTGTGCCCATATAAGATGACAAATTTAATTGATACATGTGTGTGCTCTGACTTCTTTACTCACCGGCAATTCCCTGTCTTTCTTTCTCTCCCTGAGCATCCCTATTCCTTGAGACACAGAAGTTTTGGAATTAGGTCAGTCAGTATTTCTACAATGTCCTCCAGGTGTTCAAGCAAAAAGTCAGATGTCTCTCACTTTAAATTAAAAGCTACAAAGGCTTAAGTTTAGTGAGGAAGGCATGTCAAAAACCGAAATAGGCCAAAAGCTAGGCCTCTTGTGCTAAACAGTTAGCAAAGTTATGCATGCAAAGGAAAAGTTTTTGAAGGAAACTATAAGTGCCACTCCAGTGAACACAAAAATGATAAGAAAGTCAAACAGCCTATTGCTGATAAGAAGAAAGTTTCAGTGTCTGAATAGATCAGTGAGTCACGACATTCCCTTAAGCCAAAGTCAATCCAGAACAAGGCCCTAACTCTCTTCAGTTATGTGAAGGCTGAGAGAGGTGAGGTAGCTGTAGAAGAACAAAATGAAGGTAGCAGGGGATGGTTGATGGGATTTAAGGAAAAAAGCCATCTTTATAACAAAAAGTACAAGGTGAAACATCAAGAGCTGATTTTGAGCTTCATGTACTTATTCAGAAGCTCATTAATGAAACAGGCTACACTAAACAGATTTTCAATGCAGACAAAGGCTGAAGAAGAGAAGTCAACGTCTGTCTTCAAATGACAGGCTAACTCTTCTGTAACTAATGTAGCTGGTGACTTTAGGATTAAGCTAATGCTCATTTACTATTTCAAAAATTTTATGACCCTTAAGAATTATTCCAAATCTACTCTGCCTGTGCTCTATAAATGGAAAAACAAAGCCTGAATGACAGCAGCACATCTGTTTACAGCATGGTTTACCGAATATTTTCAGTACACTCTTGAGATCTACTCTTCAGAAAAAAAATTTCTTTCAAAACATTACTTCTCATCCATGATGTACCTTGTCACCCAAGAGCTCTGATAGAGATGTACAAAGAGATTAATGTCCTTATATATGTTAACACAACATCTATTCAGAAGCTTATGGATCAAAGAATAATTTCAACTTTCAGGTCTTATTCAAAAAATATGTTTTCAAGGCTATAGCTGCCAAAGACAGTAATTCAACTGAAGGATCTGGGCAAGGTTAATTAAAAACCTTCTGGAAAGGATTTACCATCATAGATGTCATGAAGAACGTTTATGATTTATGGTATCAGGCCAAAACATCAACATTATGAGGAGTTTGTAATGTTGGATGACTTTGAGGGGTTCAAGACTTCAGTGGAGGAAGTAACTGCATGTGTGGTAGAAATAGGAAAAGAACTAGAAGTAAAACTGGAGCCTGAAGATGTGACTGAATTGCTACAGGCACATAATACAAGCTGAACAGTTGAAAAGTTGCTTCTTATGGATAAGCAAAGAAAGTGATGACTTGTGATGAAATCTACTTCTGTTTAATCTTGTGGAAGTGACAACAAAGGATTCAAGATATCACATAAACTTAATTAATAAAGCAACATCAAAGTCTGAGAGAATTGACTCCAATTTTGAAAGATATTTTACTGTGGATAAAATACTATCACACAGCATTGCATGCTACTGAAAAAATCTTTCATGAAAGGAATAGTGAATCAATATGGTAAGCTTTATTGTCTTCTTTTAAGAAACTGGCGCAACTATCCCAGACTTCAGCAACCATTACCCTGGTCAGTTAGCAACCATCAACACTGAGGCAAGATCCTCCATCACCAAAAATATTACCACTCTAGGCTCAAACGATCGTTAGCATATTTTAGCAATAAAGTATTTTTAAGGCATGAACATAGTTTTTTTAGACATAGTATTATTCTATACTTAATAGACTCCAGCATAGCGTAAACATAACTCTTAAATGCACTGGGAAATAAAATCCGTGTGACCTTCGTTATTGCAGTATTTGCTTTATTGTTGTGGTCTAGAACCAAACCTACAGCAACCCTGAGATATTCCTGTATTCCATTTATATCAGTGTATCTGTTTTCACATTTTTATATAGACTCACTTTCTGGAAATATTTGTAATTCAAGGATTCAGAAAAGATGAAATTGCTAATGATGATGAATAGTGCTATGTTGAGGAACAATTTTACTGATCATAGATTAAGCTAATATGTTTCAGTATACTTGAGTTTCAAGATATTTCTTCAGAAGACCTCCGCATTAGTTCACTGTCATTGTTCTTTATTTCTTCTTTTCTTTTGCTATCTTTTTCTCTTAGAGAATTAGGAAATTGTAATCAGCATTCTGTGAATAGAGCTAATATAAATTAAAAAGACTGGGGACATAAGATATATTTATATCTTGTCCTGACAATAAATGCCACATCATGATCTTATATGAATGGTTTATTGAGGATTTATAATGCATAGTGAGAGAAAACCATGGAGTTGTTCACAGTTCACTGGAATCCCTAAATGTTCATTTAACCTTTGACCATCGTGTCATGGAAACCTGTGGTCATCTTTCACCCGTAAGATCCTTGAAACTGAAAATTATGTCTGGCCAGGAGATTTTCAATTATTTTATTGATCAGATTCATTCAAAAGGTGATGAGCTACTCATTTGGTCAGTAAAAAAAGGAAAGAAAAAAACTAATTAGATGACCTTTGGCTGCATCTAATGATTTCATGGATATGACAATAAAAGCAGGTTATAAGAAGTTACCTGAATTCTGCATAGGTATTTAATTTGAAAAAAAAATCATTTAAAATTTAATTAGTGTGCTCTACTCTGGTAATACAGACTCACTTTCTCACTGCATTAAAAATTATAACGTTTTGTTTATTGGTCTTCTCTTTCTGACCCAGAAGGATAAGTCCCATGAAACTTACAGTTTGAATTTCTATTTGCCTAATTATTGCCAGATGTGCCAGAATTATTAAAATATTCTACTTCAATATTTTTCTAAAATATTTTATTTAGTATTGAAAGTAAAAATTTGATGAAAAAAGCTGCAAAATAAATGATTCTAATTTTTGTTTGTGAACAATAAACAATTTTTACTGTTTTTCTTGGGTTTTATCATGAATAAAGTAGGTTCAGAATCTGCAATGTTTTGATATGAAGGGACCCTGTATTAGAAATTCTAGCTTCAATTAAATATGGCTGGCTTTCTCATGATAGGTTCTGAAAAGGCTGCTTATTTTAATGTTTTATTCCCCCAAACTGTGAACTCTAATAAAGATCTCAATATCATTTTAATTATAGATAACACAGAGGAAGTTATTGACAAAAATAGTACAGCTGTAGTATACTATATTTGTATGTATGTATAGATGATAGATGTATGATAGATTTAGAATATATGTTACTAAGAATATACATATTACTTAGAATGAGTTATGAGTAATACATACTGTGTTGGGATTTCACTTTACTTTCAATGTCAATATATCAAGACTACTGGACTTCATTGAAGTTAAAATACCCTGAAAATAGCTTTATTCTTTAGTTTTGACAGATAGACCTCCACCTATAATTCTACAAGGCCCAGCCAACCAAACGCTGGCAGTGGATGGTACAGCATTACTGAAATGTAAAGCCACTGGTGATCCTCTTCCTGTGATTAGCTGGCTAAAGGAAGGATTTACTTTTCTGGGTAGAGACCCAAGAGCAACTATACAAGAGCAAGGCACGCTGCAGATTAAGAATTTACGGGTAAGTAGTATTCATCTACACATAAGAGCTGCTCTACGGAAAAATTATGTTGTGAAATTAAAATCTTATATCCTAGTATAATTGCTGTACATTTAAAAACAGTTAAAGTTTTTACTTATTTTAAAAATCATGGATTGAAATTAGAGGAAAGGTCCTTTTTATTTTTATTTTTTTGTTACACATTCAAAACAGAACTTTGGAACTTTTATTCCTGCATTCTATTCCATATGCATACAATTAATACATCTAGAAATCTTAAACACATAGCATTAATACGAGTAGTAGGATATTGAAATGGCAAAAGTGACAAACACTTCTGATTTACTTTCATTAACCAAAGAATATTGTAAGGAAATGTAGTTAAAGTCGCTTGGCCAAAGAAGTGAGTAGAAGAAAAACAAAGAGATGAGACTGAGTACATAAAAGGCAAGTTTCCCTAATTAGTGGAAAACCTTAGAGTTTAGGTTAAGTTGCCGTGTAGTTTAGAATTAAACCCATGGAAAGAACAAGGCATTGTTGGTTTTTTACTGACATTTACATGATAAAGAATGAACATTCCTGACAACTTAAAAAGTCAGTCCTGCTTCAGGAGCAAAACAAAATAAGATGTCTACTTCTGAATATTGTATCCATTATCTATTATTATGTAACACTATTAACAAAAATATAGTGGTTAAAAGCAACACACATTTACTATATCACTGTTCCTGTGAGTTAGGAGCCTAGACATGACTTAGCTGGGTCTTTTGCTTCAGGGTCTTACAAGGCTACAGTTAGGTGTCATTTAGAGTTGCCATCTCATATGAAGATTGACACAGGATGGGTTGCTACCAACAACATTATTCTTGGTAGCATTCAGTTCCTTGTGGCTACTGGACCAACAGCCTCACCTTCTTGATGGCTGTTGGCAGGAGGTTGCCTGTAGTCCCCTGCCATCTGGCTCTTCCCTGTATCACTACCTGCTTTCTCCAAGTCAGCAAGGAAGAGAGTCTCCTAGCAAGATGGACATTCCAGTCCTATGTAATGAATCACAAACATGACATACTGACATTTTCGCAGTATTACATTGGCCAAAAGAAAACCAGCAGGTTCCACTTGCACTCCAGGTGAAAGATCACACAAGATACAAATACCAGAAGAGTGTTATTGTGGAGGCCACGTGTCCTCTACCAGTGAGTATATTCAACTCATTCAACCAGGTATTGTAAGTCTCGGCCTCCTACCTGCTGCATAGCAAGTGCTATGCTAAAGCTGGAGAGTATATTTTAGTAATCACAATATTGAGGATGAGACTCAGAGCTAAGGTAGATGATGTAATAGTGCATGACGAAAAATTCAGTGGAGGAGCAATTAGTAGAATCTTCTGTCCAGGTGGAAATTCAGAACCAAGATGAAGAAAACTACTTTTTAGAATTTTCCCATTCTGGAGCTAAAAAGAAAAGCAAACATTTTTAACCACACTTACTTCCAAATGACAACAATTTGGCATATTCTTCTCTTATGATGGGAATGTATTTACAATTACAGGTTTCTATGATTATCACTATATCATACAGATATATATGACAAAACAAAGTGACTATTTTTGCTATGTGCACACAAGAACACATAAGTTTTTAATTTGTATATATAATATTTGTCTTTAATTTTTGAGAAGCAGGCATTAATTATTGCCTGAAGTAGAAAAAAAATATGGCCAAATTAAGTTAAAAGAAAAGTAGATTAATACAGATATTTTGAGCCTGTCTTTTTATTTATTGTAAAGGAATTGTTAACCTCCTTAGAACAAAATGGAAGTTATTAAAAAATTAATGCCAACTATCTTTGTGTAAACACTTTAACCTCTGTCTCTGGGCTAAAGGCAGTCTTGGGCCATGGAGGTTAATGCATTTTCACTGTATCACTGAATTAAAGGGTATGCTTGAGTAGTCAAGATTTCTAGTAGTGTTTGAAAGAAGCAATTAAAGGTGGGTGCTTGATGATGTCAAACAAACTTTGTGCCCTCTGACAGGGTTCTGAGCAGTCTCTCTGAGCTGCCAGCTCCTGAGAGCTTGTCTGCAGCCAAGTGTACAAGGAGAAAAGTAGATGATGGAGTTTACCTACACATTAATCTCTTTTTATAGCAATTTATTAAGGGTAAAAGGACAAGGGTGGAAAAGATGAGAATCACTCCTGACCAGAAAAGACATATTTAAAATTAAAGGACTAAAATGTGGTGATGATGGTCATACAAGACTGAGTTTTAGCAATGAAATTTAGGTTTTTGAGAAACTCCAAAATGAAAACGTTCTTTTTCTGGAACATGACTGTCTTTAAAGGGAGAGAAAAATGGGCTTCCCAGTAGGTCACTCATACAGTCAAGAGCATTTCCATAGGTTGTATTCCTTTGTGTCTCATCACTTTTTTAAAGTACTTAATGCAAGGTAAAAAAAATAATAATAATAACATGATGAATACTGTGTTCTCCTAGGCCAGCTAATTGGTAACTGAATCTTTATCTTTTGAGAAGTAGAATATTCCAGCACTCATTAAAACATACCTACCACAGCTAATGTCATACTTGTATCTCTATACAATGACAAGGAGATGCAGTTAAGATGCATTACCTACATACTTTTCTTTTAGCATTTGCAAGTAATAACAAGTGCTACCTTTTAGTTCAACAGCCATAATAAAATGCAAATTCTTTTACTCTTTCACAGACCATATTCAAATGAACATCCCATTAAAATCCAGCCTCAGCTCGTTATATTTAGTTTGTGAGTGATGCTTCTTAAATGCAAGGGTTTCTAATGACTAGTAATATGTGCACAGCCACATTTGAAAGAATGGCTCTTTCTACAATGGCTATCCCCATCATCCCTCTGTGTAATAGAAGACAGTTGCACAGAGATAATATGGCAAAGAATGTCATGCCAGAGCAATCTGAAACTTAAGTTAAAATACATAACGACCTTTAAAATCAATTAAGATAGTGAAATGGCAGTAACATCCAGGCACTAATGATTTACCTGAGAATCAATCAGGAAAGCTTGAGTCATCAATACACTTACAGTTTGAACCCAGCAGATATAATATTCCGTGAACTACTACAGTTCATCAACAATTAGACTGGTGTTCATCGCAGAATATTAATTCTACATCTTGTGCCTTGTCTTATTTTGTTTGGTCATCGGATTCTCTTCCCAGTGTGACTTTTCCTTCACCCCTAAATTGATGAGAGTGAATGTTGTTTGCAGTGTAAGCCCACAAGGCCTGATCACAGAGAGAATTTGAGTTTCCTCTTTTACTGATCTTGGGGCTTTTTTCAAAATAGAATCACAGAATCTTCTGCTTTTTGCATTTGTAAAAGAGAATTCTTGATTACATTATGAAGTTTTTCTCAAGTCTTTTGCCACTCTTCTGTGAATAACAAAACCATTAGAAGTGATCAATGAAATGACAAATTTCAATTGTGCTCAAAAAATGAGTTATGAATTTGGATATTTTCATGGTCCCTTTCAGCTTGAAACCGCAGTCACTCCATAGCCATGCTTTTTTCAAATGATACTTTATATTATTCATTGTTCCACTACTGTAATTTACATATAAGTGAATTTTGAAATTTTTAAAAGAAGAAATTTACCTTAAAAACATTTCTCTTTCTTCTTCACTTTTTTCCATGTCTTTGAAAAGAAAAGTGTGGTCCCCTTATTGCTTATTTTCTTGGGTACATTTTATTCATTGGAACATAGTTTATTTGAGACAGAATAAATAAAGATTACACAAGATACAAATACCAGAATGATGTTATTGTGGAGGCCACCTGTCCTCTACCAGTAAGTATATTCAACTCATTCAACCAGGTATTGTAAGACAGCCCCACCATAAAATGGAGTTAAGAGGCAAGAGTATTACCAGGGAGCAAGAAAAAGAGAGGGGCAAATAGTTTATCAGATGAATAACATTTAGTTGCACAAATATGATTTTAAAAGCCCCTTAGATCAGTTATGAATAATATTATATGAGTTTATCTCAATATTTTACGTGTACATATAATTGACTCTAATGCATAATTTGGACAGCAAAATGATACATCTAGCTTTAAGAAATTAAACATTGCCTAGTTGTCATTGAGTAATTATTCTGCAAATTGATTGAAACAATGAAATTCTCTCCCTTCTATGCACACCAGATTTCTGATACTGGCACTTACACTTGTGTGGCTACAAGTTCAAGTGGAGAGACTTCCTGGAGCGCAGTGCTGGATGTGACAGGTGAGGACTTTGTGAATTAGCAGAAACCTTGAGCCCCTTTTAGTGATAGCTCAATATCAAATAATAAGTTAATGGGAGATTCAAGTGTTTAATTCATTGAATGTAAATTTAAGTCTTTACGTTTGATGCCACGTTTTAATTCATGCATGAGTTTGCACCTAGCATTGCATTTGTGGAATTTAATATGCTTATCCTTGATAACCTTGTTATTTTATTTCCTGTGAAATGTAAGGAATTCTAGTGATCATGTGTAAAAGTGCAGCTTAGTTTTATTAACATGCAGGAGAAGCACATACTCACTTACATACTTACGATTCATGGAGATGAATTTCTCACTGTCTAGGTCAAGTCTTTTAGTAGATTGCTTCCTTCTTTTAGGCAATATTGTCAACTTATGCAATCAGGAATGAAGTTTTTTCTGTCTGTTCTCTATAGAATCTGGAGCAACAATCAGTAAAAATTATGATTTAAGTGACCTGCCAGGTCCACCATCCAAACCGCAGGTCACTGATGTTACTAAGAACACTGTCACCTTGTCCTGGCAACCAGGTACCCCTGGAACCCTTCCAGCAAGTGCATATATCATTGAGGCTTTCAGGTATGGCACAATTCCATTTTTCTCCATTGGGTTTTTGCTTTAGCTCCTGTATTCTGAAATACCACCTGAACTATCCTGCTGTTTTATTAAAGACAAGTTCAATCAATGCATTTTAAGAATTGATCTATTCTATCTGACTTTATTCAAGAACATACTTAATTTTTCTTAGTTTACAACTTAATTATAAGATTTAAATATGCATTATTCATGCCTATGTCTATAGGGATCCGATTCATAACATAATGACTTAGCTTCATTTTTTAGCTAGGCCATTGTAGGCATTTAATGTGAGAATTTAGGCATTAAAACTGGGTAGAAAATAATTTTATTAGGTGTAGGCACAGGACGTCTTGAAATTATGCAACATTTATTGCAGCAGGGGACTCTGGCATTTTTATTCCTAATAATTAGAGCATAACCTAAAATAATCCCATTGTTATTATACCATATATTGCATAAATATGTTAGATATTCCTGAAAGACAATTAAAAACAATAATTAAGCAATTTATTCCTTATACTTCTAGTTGCTTAATGGAAAAGACATTTCCATGTGTTATTTGAAACAATTGTTGCTGATTTAAAGATATAAATGTAAATATCATCATAAAATTGTCCTATGAGAATTTGATAAAATGTTTACACAAATGGTAACATGTGTTTTCATATTTCCTTTCAAATGTGCTTTTATGTGGCATTATAAATTTTAAAGGATAACCACTGTTCTTTTTAAACATTAGGACAAATGATCACTTTCTTTTAAGATTTCTCTGATCATTACTTAAGGTAATGCTAGATACTTAACTTCCAAATTTAAAAATACTATGTTTCTGTAATTCTTATGCTTGGAAAGTTAAGGATGTCAGAAAAATAAACTGACTGCCCTGAAAATTACAATTTCCCCTTCTTCTGAGCAAAACTAGCATTTGACCTTAGACAAACTGTTCTAAAATGACATCCGTCTGTGGCCAGCTATAAAAGGGTCCTCATACACAGATTCAGAGATATTTCACAATTCTGAGATGAGAAATCACAATACTGTGTAATGTACAACTTTGTTAAAAATGTAACCAAGGGAAAATATTCATTACATGCTTCCTTTCTTCTTTTACAGATATGTAGTTTTAGAAGGCTCTATTATAATATTGCATGTGGAATTGATGCAAAAGAAAACACACCTTGTAACAGGAAAATGTATTGGCATAATTTACTCTGTAGTCCATTTATTCTTTCTACAGGTTTATTCTTTTCAAGGTATATATAAATATATATACATTTACAAGGACCATACTTATTGTATAAACTTGATGTTGTGATCTTGGCCTCTGTTCCTTTTACAGGTATTCATTTAGTGGGCTGCTGTGCATTAGCAAAGGGCTGTCACATCTCCTGGGCTGAGTTTAATTGTGTTGTGCATGGCACTTTCGTTAGGTGGGCTCGGCTTTGTTGTTGAATAAACTGAAATCATCCAAATGTTTCATTTATTGGGCTGAACACTTCAAGTGTTGTGTGTGTGTGTGTGTGTGTGTGTGTGTTTAATTTTCAGCCATTAACCTTTGTCATTGATATCCTACTCCATTTCCAGTATTCAAACGACTGTTCTTTAAATGAAATTTCTGTTGGTGTTTCAGCCAATCGGTGAGCAATAGCTGGCAGACTGTGGCAAACCATGTAAAGACCACCCTCTATACTGTAAGAGGACTGCGGCCCAATACAATCTACTTATTCATGGTCAGAACGATCAACCCCCAAGGTCTCAGTGATCCAAGCCCCATGTCAGATCCTGTGCGCACACAAGGTAATTTCAATAGCTGTCAACATGACTGGTTCTCGGAAGAAACATCAGATATTTAAGAATAAGGGGATTGATGAGGAAATGTAAATGTGCCTGCATTGCTTTTTATGATGGTTCACGAGGCTTTATCCAGGGAAGGAGAAGGTAGCTTGCTGTTTACCTTGGTGAGATGTGTCCTCTTTCTGGAGTTTTCAGGGTTTATTCAGCAAAAAATAAACAAAATAATTGGGTATTTCTACATAGAATGAATCCACCCAATTAGAGCTTCACTATATTTCAAAGGAAGGAAAATGTTTCTCCTTCTCGAAATGTAATTATACAACAACAGAAAAGTGGTCTTTAATGAATAGATGCCCAAATAGAGTTAGAAAAGTGATTTCCTATTGTTCAGGAATTCTGTTTTTATGATGCAGTGGTTCTGAGTATGGTTTCTGGGTTAGCAGCATTTGCATAGCCTAGAACTATTAGAAATACAGATTTTCAGGCTCAGACTCAATGGTCTGAGGTTGGGGCTCAGTGCTTGTGTTAACAATCCCACCTTGTGATGCTGATGTATAAGTTTACAACCACTGCTACGATGAATTTCATTAAATCAGGTGTTTAAAGGAGCAATTTGTAGAAGAAAGCAGAACATCAAGTGTTCTTTCTAAAGAACTCATTTTTTTTTACTATAATGTAAAATATACACAGAATATTAAAATGTATTTTCAAAACGGCAGATTACATAATTTCATCTTTATTACTTGTCTCTTCAAACTGAGAAGTCATTGGAGTCTCAGCTTTAATGTGCAAGGCTACCTTATAGTTTCCCTTCTGACAAGTAGGTGAAGGAAATTAATAAAATAGAAATGGTAATTTTATTATTTGTTATAACCTACTTCCCACAGGGTTCTTCAGAAAGGGTTAATTATTTCTTATTTGTAAAAGACTTGGAGCAAGATATAATTCACAGTAGTATTTTTATGCAATGAAAAGCACCATACAGCCATAAAATATTATTATAATTACAATGTAGTTCAGTGATAGTAACTAGCATGCTATTATAACAGAGAAGAGCGCCTTAAAGGAATCGAGTGAAATAAAGTCACCACGTGACTTTGTAACATTGCTGACATGATGACAGTCAAGGGAGGAGGGAATGCCATTTTGCTATTGTTCTCTAAGCAGTAATGTGATTAATTTTCCATGATGATAAAGGGCCTGTAGGTAAAGAACCTGTCTCTTGAGAAAGAAAAAGCACAACAAGGAATTCGGAGATCTGAAACTAGTTATATTTTACCTGCCTAGATCGGTAGCTTTTTACTGTGTTTGAATAAAGTGTGTAAATTATATTATTGAACATAAAATGGAAGAAGTGTACAATTTTAAGTTAAGAAATTATAGTACCGAGATCATTTATACCTATGTGGATAGAAATGGTTTTTGTGTGTAGCCAATGAAAGGTAGAAAGAGATCAGAATGGGAAGATATTTAGTGTGATTGTATCTGGCAGATATTTTCGATCATTCAGTAACTATGACATTCACTACATCTTGACTCATAAAATAACTCTCAGTGAAAAGATCAAGAAAGATTAATGAAAAGTTGTTTGTGGTCTTCTTTGTTCTAGATAGAGCAAAAGACTTACGTGCTCTTAACAAATATTCAATAGGAAAACTCCTGTTTTGTGTCTGAATGTCAGGATTATTTTTGGATACCATACTTTCAGCAGCTTTGCAATCTGCAAAGCACTTCTTTTCAAATAACACTTTGCTTTGTGAGCTCTTTTTTTTCAAAGATATTAAATAACAGAGAATCTAGAAATCTTTTATTTCATTAAAGGAACAAATACTTGCATTATCAACAGGAAAACAGAACATACCTATATAGGCATAGATTAATATTATTCACATACAGGGACTTTTTTCCAAATTAAGTAAAATTTCATTTTACTGTTTATGTTAAAAATGAAAAAAGGTAGAATTGGAAAAAATTACCTAAGTATCATCTCAGTTATTTATGACCCAATTTAAGGTATTGTACCCAATTGAAGTAATAGCTGAGAAATTTTTTTAAAATACTTTTTCAAGAGTGCTGCATTGTAGCCTGAGATAATAAGAGAAAACAGGATTAAGAAAATAAATAGTTTTAAATTGGACTTATTTTCTCAAATACAGTAATTGGAGAAAACCAATTCAACAACATTGTGTACCAGTTTAAAAAGTTAATTTGAGTATGTGTAAAATTCAATGTTTAATATAAATTGGATGGGCTTAGCTGCCTATAATTTATCTTTTCTTTTTTTTCTTAATGGACACAGCCTTTAATTTATCCTTCTTTTCTTAATGGACACAGAATATAAACCATCATATGGAGAAATGGAGTAGTACTTGATGACTAAGGTGGTATAACACTATGTGACTGAGGGTATCATCTTTTAAAAATCACCTTTCTTTCTTCCCTTCTCTCCCCACTCCATTCCAAAAGAAGTGATGCTTGACCTCGTGTCAGATATTAGAGCATTGCTCCAAATGTACTGCTTCAGAACATGTTATCAGAATTATAAATATTTCTTCCAAAAGTATCTTTGCAAATTTGAGGAGCTGCTTCCCCTCTCTCCCCAACTCTCTTTAATGACAGAATTCACTTCCCTAGTCCACCATCGCTTCTCCATCCATGCTCCCAGACTGAAGTAGGTCAAGGAGTGAGAAAATAAAACCTGCGAATTGAGGTAAAAGAGTAACAGGTTCCTTAGCAGCGGTGTTTAGATATATTCCAATTTACAAATACAGAAAATCCTTGAATACATGAGCATCTATACAAAGGTGATCTTTCTAGAGATCCTTCTAGACTTTCTAGACTTCTTATACTTTGTTCTTTAATAAGAAAATAAATGATTTTATACAACAGTGTGTCTGGAGTTTAATGGGGATAAGGGATTATAAATACTCTTTTATCAACATGTTTTTAGTAAAGATAAATATCATGTCTCATATGTTCTACCACTATGGTTGATTTATATATATAAGCTTAAATGCTTTTTGTCACAAAAGGGTTTTAGGGTTTTTTCCCTGTAATTAGTTCTAAAAGCATAATATTGACTAATAAAAAATAAATTATAATTTTAATATGAATTTTTAGAAATTGGGAGTGACTCTCTTATCTAACTGCAGATATCAGCCCACCAGCACAAGGAGTGGACCACAGGCAAGTGCAGAAAGAACTTGGAGACGTCCTTGTCCGTCTTCATAATCCAGTTGTGCTGACTCCCACCACTGTTCAGGTCACATGGACGGTAAGTTTTTGAAGGCAATACTAATAGTAACCTCTTTCTTTAGAGAAAGCAAAAGGTGGAGAATGCAAATACACAAAAAGTGATAATAAAAATTCTTGCCATTTAAAATCAAGATTAATCAATGACAATAAAGAAATTCAATAAACTAAAAAAAGTTATTAGAATAAACACAGTAAGAATAGATTATTATATAAACATGGCATATTCTGTCTTCTGAATTTTCTAACAGCTTTATTGAGATATAATTAACGTACCATAAAGTGAACAACTTCATGATTTTTAGTACATTTAGAGACTTTTAAAATTATCACCAAAATCTGATTTTAGATTATTTCATCATCCCCAAATGAAATCCTGTGCCTTTGAGCAATGATTCTCTCATTTCCCCTAACTTACCCCTGTGTAACACTTATCTACTCTATGTTTTTATAGATTTGCCTATTCCACACCTTTCATATGAATAGAATTGTGCAATATATGGCCTTTTGTGTCTCTCTTATTTCACTCTGCATAATGTTTTGAGGCTCATCCATGTTGTAGCATATATCAGTAGTTTGTTTCTTGTTATCAATTAATATTCAATTTTATGGATACTTCACATTCTGTTTATTTCTTCATCAATTGATGGATGTTCTGGTTGTTTCCAGTTTTTTCTATTATGAATAATGCTGCCATAAACATTTGTGTACAAGTATTTGTGTGGATACATGTTTCCATTTTTCTTGGTATAGACCTACAACGTGTTCAGTAATATTGGTAACTCTCCATTTAATATTTTGATGAACTGCCAAAATGCTTTCCAAAGTGGCTATACCATTTTTTATTTTCACAAGCAGTGGCTTGACGTTCCTGATTCTCTCAAATCATTGCCATTTTTTTCTCACATTTTTGGGAACACTTATTATTATCTGCCATTTGGATTATACCCATTCTAGTGGGTATGCAGTGGCATATAATTGTGGTTTTGATTTTCATTTCTTTAATGACTAATCATGTTCATTTTTTCATGTGTTAATTGAACTTTTTTAGCGAAATGTCTATTCAAACGCTTTGTCCATTTTTAATTTGGATTGTTTGCCCTCACATTATAGACTAATAAGTGTTTATATATTCTAAATACAAATGCCTTTTTGGATACATAATTTGCAAACATTTTCTCCCAGTTTGTGGGTTGTTTTTTACTTTTTTAATGGTGTCTTTTGAAGCACAAAATACTTTAATTTTGATGACATTATCTTCTGAATTTCAGTCAACCATTCTTTGCATTCTTTAATCTGAATTTTATAAAGCAGCATCAAGACATGTACACGATTTTAATAATTTGACATGTGTAGTCAAAAAACTAGTGGGTGTTAAGAAATAATTTGATATTTAAATATATGTCAAGAATGTCCAAATTCCAGGCATTATTAAATGTGTCAGAATACCCACTCTTATTTCAAAATAGTCACTGTTATTTCAAAACACAGAATGTTCTGATCAGATGGTAGCCACTGCAGAGATTACTAATACTTGTGTATGTGTGCGTGTCTGTGGGTGTATCTGTGTTTTGAGAGGAGTCAGGTAGTGTTCTTCTCTGTGTCTCCAGATAGTATCAGCTTCTTATTTATGTACACACTCCCTCTCATAGAATTTCTAAAAATTCAGAAGGAAATATATTAGGATAATAGAAGAAGGCATCTACCTGAAGTCCTCTGTGGATATGTCAGGACTTGTATAACTAAAGACATTTGAGTCAAGGATAGCTGGAAGAATTTTCACTTTATTTATAGTATTGTTTATTTAGAATTTATTTATAGTTATTAATGTTGTCATTGTTATTTTGTTGATATGTAAGTGGAGGGAAGATATAAGTCAAAAAATTGGATGTTTCTCCCTTGAAGTCCAAGTTACTTTAGGGAAACAGCTCTTTCACTAATTTCGATCAACTACTCCAGCAAGAGGTTGAGAGGAAAACTGGTTATTTTTCATCAGTTCTTGAGTAGCTGTGTACAAAGTATAAAACACAGTGAAGAAAATTATTCTGATGTTTTCTCAATAATAATTCCACCGAACAAATCCAGTTCAAGATGCAGTTTTTGAGACCTACTGTGTTCTATAGATGTGAGTGAGTACTGTATGAAGGGATGCAAATCTAGTTGAGAGAGACATGGAAATTCTTAATGACAGTACACAGGGAAAAGTTCCATAACAAATATGTATGCACGTAACTTGCAGAAATTACAACCAAAAGTTAAGTTGTTAACTCTGTCCTCAGGCACCAAAAAGACATAATCACTCATATGTACCTATATGGGAAAATATGGAGGCATTGTCTTAGAATAAAAGAACCTAAAGTAACATTTAAACTCGTTTACTGTAATTCTGCACTTTCATAAAAGGAAAGCAATGCAGACAGGTTAAACAATGTTCCCAATACCACACGTCTGTTTATAGGTAAAGACAGGATTTAAAATTTTATTCTTCTGACCTTAAATCTGCCTTTTTTGTTGTTGTTTTTCACTTTAAAGATAAACCATAGATAAATATTCATGGTTTTCTATTTATGTCTTTAATCCATCTTTAGTTAATTTTTGTATATAGTGTATGAAAGGGATCAATTTCAGTGTTCTTCATATGGTTAGCCTGTTATCTCAGTGTCATTTATTGAACAGGGTGGCCTTTCCTCATTGCTTATTTCTGTCAACTTTATGGAAGAACAGATGGTTGTGGGTGTGCAACACTATTTCTGAGATCTCTGTTCTGTCCCATTGGTCTATGTGCCTGTTTTTGTACCAGTACTGTGCTGTTTTGTTTACTGCAGCCCTGTTGTGTAGTTTGAAGTTGAGTAGCATTAACAGCTCCTCCTTTCTTCTTTTTGCCTAGGATTGCCTTAGCTATTCAGCCTTTTGTTGTTGGCCCATATTATTACTCCTTAAAGCAAACCACATGATCAAATTCTTGGTTTATGAGTAGAAAATTGGGTAATATTTTATTAAAATATAAGACTAAGCTTATAATGTTTTAAGAGTAATTATGATTAGGATTACTCTTTCTTATTTCTTTTTTTATGTAATTTTGCACAGATCTATTTTCTGCACATATTGGTTTCTATTCTTCTGTTCTCATGAAGGGAACACAATTACCTAATCATTTTTCCAGTGGCATAGTAAGGGGTATTATCTGTCATGCATTTTCTACCTTTCGGTACCCTTAAGTAGACACAAAACTAACAAAACCAAGGTAATTTTGTACTTTTCATAGCATATTTTTCTCATTCTGAATTGAAAAAGTTCTCAGTTCTATTGTAAGTTACAAGGGGGATTCTTTTAAGCTGCTTCTAAATGTGGGAATTGCTTGGGAAAGAATCAAAGTTATGATGTTTATGAAGTTAATCACTTTAAAAGTCACTGAGTTTAAAAAATAAATAGCATTAGATCAAAATTGCATGACAGTAGACTGGGAGTTCTTCCAGGAGAGGAACATTGTCATAGTCATCTCTGTGTTCAACATTTTCACTTCTGCTTCCACCCGTAACAACAAGTTTCCTCCTGAAAACAAAATGCGTTGCCACTGCACACAATCATCCAAGAAACTGTTACTGGTTTTCCTAGTCTATCCCCCTCATGGGCTGTAACTTCTGTGAGGCTACAGACAATGTCTTTCATTTCTGTGTTTTTCAGAACAGAGTGTCTATTACAAAGTATTATTTCAATAACTGTTTGTTCAATGATCAAATTACTTGTTTTCATACATTTTAAATTTTTTTAGTAAAAGAAAGAATTCAGTTAATATCATGTCATAGTGTTCCCTATTACTTCGTAGTTGCACATGACATAAGTATGCATTTGAAAGAGATAAATTAAGTGAAATAAAGTCAGACCAGTGTGTGCCTAGTGGCCAAAGAATTTGCATAACTCTTTTATAGATGTAATATTTTCAGTTTATTAAATGCATGTGTTACTTAAATTACCAAAATTTTAGCATTTGCTTTACAGAGGTGTTGGGGTTGAGGGTAGAAATAATTCCCCACCATGTGATTAGGGTTGGAGCCAGCTGGGGAAGTTTCCCAGTGATTGAGAGGATTAATTACCAAAGGACCAAGACATAACTACTAGGGAGACCGTTTACTGCCAACCTCTTCACCAGGGTAAGCTTGGAGTAGCAATAGTTATCAACAGCTACTTTCTACAAATGACTGCTTTTAGAATGAGGGTGGGCATAAATGATAAGAAACCTGCTGTTCCATAAAGAAAAATAGCAATAAGTCATTTACTGAAAAATGATTATTCTCATTTTATTTTTTGACTTTTTATGATTCAAGGACAAAAAGAATGACATACTCTTTGCCCATTAAGCATTATTACACAGAGGTTGAAAAGAGTGCTTCAACAAACTAGAATTTCAGAAGTCTGCTAAAACCAGAGCAGACCCTTAGCAGCTAAACCCATCCAAGAAAATTCACTTTGAATTTTTGCTTTATGTGGAATTGTTGTGTTATTTTGTGTTGTAAATGGAAACGGTAAATACAAATCATCACACTTAAACAGATTAATTAAAAAGTTGATTTGAGGGCCGCAGACGAGCCCTCTTTTTTTGTGGCCTGTTGCTTCCTTAACAATTATGTTTTATCATTGTGTATCTCTAAAGCTTGCAAAATGCTTTCAGTTGTATCATTCCTTTGATTGTTTCTGTGCCCTAGAGATATGAGTATTATGTGGTCAAATTAATAAACTGAGACTCACAAAATTTAAGAGATTGAACTCTAATTGAAATTAAGACCTATGGCTGAAGCTTTCATCATCATTTTACTTTTTCCTTAAGACATCTCTTTTTTTTAAATTAAAGTTTCAGAAAACACTATTTTTTAAAATTATATAAACCCATAAATCTGTGGTCAGACTCTGATTGTAATCAACTCTAAAAGAAAATCCTCCTTCTTGTAATCAGAATGTTAATAAAACCCGTAACAAACGTATGGCCTGACTTGAAAATGATCACCTGTCAAAATGAGCTCCAACAGTTAGTGGGGTAGACACACATCCAGTAAAAATCTCACCTATTTTATTTTAAAAGTAAATGTTCAGCATTTTCATTTCTGCTTCCACCTGTAACAACAAATTTCCTCCTGAAAAAAAAAAATGCATTCCCACTGCACACAATCAAGTTAAACTATTTAACTATTAAGAAGCCCCATACTGTATACTAGCTGAAGATAGTGTACACTGAAGTGTGCAAAACAATGTTTTATAGTAAACATTAGCTTCATAAAATCCCTAAAACACTTAATTAATGAAAACCAAACATTGGTAAAACCAATTTACCCTGATTTACAGACATCCTTCATCTGGAAACAGCTGCTTAATGTTCTTCTTAAAAACACAGCTTGCTTCTTTCAGTATTAACAAGCTATTATTGTGAGTTATGTCTTTCTTTCAGTATATAAATTCACTTAAAGCAAATGCAGAGAAGTTTATAAAATGCAAGCTTAATGTTGTTTTAACATATACTGCAAGGGGTTTTTTTTTTGAACATTGACAATTATGATGAAAGCCATCTCTGTTTGGCTCTCATAAATTTAAACTTTTGCCTCTTGGTTGCCTTATTTTATTGTGTCAGAATAAATCCTGCCTAAAAATAAAAATGTGTCCATTGGTAGAAACATAAACTGGTAGGATAAATGAGGACTTGCAGGTTATCAGCTTCCGTGTTAGACCTGGGCTCACTTTTTCTTTATATAACCTCATACAAGTGTTGCACTAACTCCAGAAAGTCTTTGAGAAAGCTGTCAGGTGGGTGACAAAATTCATACTTGTTGAGACTTATCTGGCAAACTGAACTTACCCATGCATAGAACATAGAAACACACACACATACACACACAGACACACATGTGCACACACACACACACACACACACACACACACTCATACTGAATTCAGGGAGTTTTCACATTTGAACATTCTAAGAATTTCCTTTTGTTCCACTGCATTCATATTGAGGGTCTACATTTTTAACTTTTTAAAGCCAATATTTTTAGCTAATATTTATTTGCTGCTCTCACTTAGAAATAAATAAAACAAGACTGCAACTAAAAAAGAGATGCTAGCAGTTAACACATGAAACAACACATTTTGTTTATAACCTGGTGACAAATTTTAACATTTCCACAAATGTTGAAACAAATTTCAAATGCCGAATAAATTTCAAATTTCTTGGATAAAGAAATTTGTTTAAAGCTGAAATTAATAACCATCTTCACTATCCTCTTTTTTATTTCCTCTTTCTCTCCAAACTTCCTGAAATGAGGTTATTCCATTTCTTTCCATTAATCTTTACACTTTGACAATGAAGTATGTGAACTTTAAACCTTCTTAGATTATGGCTATTAAGCTATGATAAGGGATATTAGTTGGAACCTGCTGTCATAGTTTCTGTTCAAATCAAGAGTTTCTAAAAACATGACAAAACATTAAAAGATGCTTAATTTTAAAAATAACTTTAAAAAGCTATAGTTCTTTTCTCCTTGTTAACGAAACAACCATAAAACCCTGATAAGGGCTTTCAAATAAATGTATAAAGAGAAGAATATATTTCATTATTTAATCTTGCATTTATATTTATTTGATTTTTAGGCGATTGTCAATGGCAGACAAAAACACTTTTTAAAAGTTCTACTTGATATGAATTTTATCTTAGATTATTATTTAAAATGGCTTCTTACTGTGCCTTAAATAAATGAAGATATCAAAAAAGTTGCCAAATTGTGTCAAGAATGGGAAATTAAAGAAGTCAGAATTTGGTAAATTAGAAGTTTTTCATTTAATATTTGGTAATGAGTATAAGCATTCATACGCTTTTAATACAAATTCTCTAGCTCTACAACTTTAACGTCTGTTGTATGCGTTTTCCAGCCACAGAGATTTTATACATGATGTCCTGGCATTTGTTTTCCTGGGTAAATCCTGCTCTTCTTGCTATCTAAGCACTTAAGAATTATTCAGGGAAGCTTCGTCTCCCCTTCCGGATTCAATCACCTTTCTCTTCACTATAGGCTTTCTTACCTTCTGGTGCTTCTCATTCTGAACATTTGTCTATGCTTTTTGTTATGATTGTAACTTGACCATAGTTCAGTCATTATTAGACAACTCTGACCTTCCACCTGGACTCCACCTTCTTACCTCAGTTCACAATGGCAGGGACTGACTCTATTTTCATTGTCGATTTTATCCCCAGAGCTCAGCAGAATTTCTGGCACCTATGAGTAGGAACCCAAAACATGTGTTTTGAGTGATTGATGATATTAGTGTATAGACAAAGGATGAGAATGGAAATCCCTGACAAGGAGCATATTACATATATAGCCATATAAAAGAGAATTGTTGAATGCATAAAAAGGGTAAGCAGAGGATACATAAAGCTAGAGATATTGGCAGGTGTGGCCTTTGAGAGGCCCTTGTGCTAATCCAAGGAATCTTAATTAATTAGATAGGTGCCTTAGATACTGTGAGATATTTTAAATAGGGGAGAGAGTTCTTCCACTCTTCATTTTGGAAATAACCTTGGGAGCAATCTAAACTCTAAAAGGATAGGAGTTATTAGAAGCAGAGAGATTAGCTAGAAAGTCACGACATCACTCAGATGATAGTTATGAGGACAAAAATCGGGACAGATGAAAAGGGGACGAATCCACTGTGATATTTAAAATACTTTCCTTTAGTTTCAAATGCCCTTTACAATGTTTTTCAGGTTGATCGCCAACCACAGTTTATCCAAGGCTATCGAGTGATGTATCGTCCAACTTCAGGTCTGCAGGCTACAACTTCATGGCAGAATTTAGATGCTAAAGTCCCGACTGAACGAAGTGCTGTCTTAGTCAACCTGAAAAAGGGAGTGACTTATGAAATTAAAGTCCGGCCATATTTTAATGAGTTCCAAGGAATGGATAGTGAATCTAAAACGGTTCGTACTACTGAAGAAGGTCAGTATTCAGATTTTGAATATAAATCAAACTCATATCATGATGAAACCAATTTCTGTTACAGTACCTACGTATTATCTTCCTTAGAGGAATAGAATGGTATCATCTTAAAGTAAATACAGGAAGTGTCATTTTCTCATCTTATTCTGAGAATTCTATAGAATCTGACAAGCAGAAAAAAAGGGACACTAATGTAATTAATTTTGAATTTTTCTTAGGTAGCCATTTGCACCAAATCTTGTTTTTTAGTTCACTTGAATTGGATTATAAAATGTTCCCTATATTTTGTGTAGATTTAACTCATTTGGATCATGAAAAGACAGACTACTGGAAATTCAGGAACACAGGCCGTTCATTGCCACTACTCTGTTTTTGTTACAGTTAAGTGTGACCTTTTTTTTTTTTTTTTTTTTTTTTTTAATTAGCCTCTTTCTTCTGTGGGCACCGCCAGTCAAACCCATAATTTCTAATCAGGAAGGTCACTTGCATATTTGCCGTAGCTTTCTTCTTAGTGAAGTTCCCTCTTTTTCCCCATTTTGGATGGTTTCTTTTTTTTTCAGATTGAGTCTCTCACTCTGTCTTCCGGGCTGGAGTGCAGTGGCTGATCTCAGCTCACTGCAACCTCCACCTCCCAGGTTCAAGTCATTCTTCTGCCTCAGCATCCCAAGGAGCCGGGATTACAGGCTCATGCCACCACACCTGGCTAACTTTTCATATTTTAGTAGAGACAAGGTTTTGCTGTGTTGCTCAGGCTGGTCTCAAACTCCTGAGCTCAGGCAATCCACCTGCCTTGCCCTCCCAAAGTGCTGGGATTACAGGCATGAGCCACTGTGCCCAGCCAGGTCTTTTCTTACCTAAAGGTAGGTTAAAGTCAATCTGTGATGGACACATGATTAATGTAGATTTCCACCAGTTCATTTAGTAGTGTCTCTGTCACAAAAACAGAGGCTTGTAATACATGTTGTTATCAAAGTTTAAAAAAAAAAAACAAACAAAAAGGAAATGCCAAATGAAAAAAACCCTCCATTCTGCTTTTGTACTACTTTTGTATTCACAACTCTTGTAAAAAAAACCTTTTCTCTAAACGTATTTCATATACAATAAGAGAAGCCTTAAGAAAATGTATATAGCTTGCCCATGTTAACATCTATATACTTGACCAAAGAGCCCTGAAATTGTACATTTCTTACGCAACGCGAGAAAAATGCCATTTTCCCGTTGTTTTTGCAGGGTGATACACGGGCAGGGGCAAAAATACATATTTAAAAAGATATCATTAATCTACTTTTAGGATATGTTAAAAAATTACCAATAATTATAATAGTATCTTTTCTCCTTGCTAACACGTTTAAAAATAAAAATCGTCATCATATCTTTATACATTATTAAATTTCACTCTATATTGCAAATTGGTAGTATTAATGAGTGGCGTGGGTAACCTTAACACAGAATGCTCTGTTTGAAGCCTGTTTCCAAAATCAATTTCACTGCAGTTAGATTTTTCCTCTGGATTAGACATTTGTCACCGTTGGGTATACATTCATCTCCAATTTCTGTGGCTATGTGACGGTAACAAATGGAATTCAGCTGGGCTACGTCTGGGAACGATGAGTGGCGATTTGGGTTCTTTCACATCTGTAGAAAGAAGCTGGGTCCTGTAATAATTGACCTGTCAGGAAGCAGGCACGGTGTTCTTGCCAAGACAGCAGCAAGGCGAATGAGAAACCAGTTCTGAAAGTCTTATTTTTCAATGCAGTCTACTTAATAACTGCAAGACTGGTAGACAAGTGGTTGGATTTATGTCATCGTGCCATACTTTGGAGCAATATTGTCACATAGAGGAATAAGAAAGAGGAGTATTGTGTTAACATGTGTCTGTGCATTTCCTATATCTCAATGCAAATATGGCTATACCTATATGAAATATATCATGACATATTTACAAAACAGGATATCTATTGTCAGGCTTTTAAAATATATTTTAGAATATTTTCAGAAAGCTGAACTGTGTAGAGCTATGCAAACATTGATGATTTTATATAAAAAGCCATCAGTAACACAAAATTATTTGATATTGTAAACTCTCAAGAGGTATGTTATATAATACTACAATTTTAACTATTCCTACCTTTGGTTTTAATTCAGAGACTCGCTGAGAATAGATGAGTTTTCCACAAAGTTATTATTTCTTCGTTCTCAGACACACTAAATGAGAAATGTGGCAGTCTAAAATCAGGAAGAGCTTCTCTCTTGCCTTTTCTCAGTATGGTTGTAATTGGTTATAGGAGAAACTATAAAGGCAGAGAATTATTATAGAAATCAAAATCTTCCCATTTCACATGAACTGTTTTCATTTTTATCATCAGAGTCCCTTGCCCATCCATTAAAATAAGTTTTAAATCTTAACTTATGGGTGAATTTATAGCAGTCAATTACTTTTCCCAGCAGAAGGTAAGGAAGTTTTTTCTGTGTTGGTGACATTTATAGTTAGGTTTCTATTTTTATTTAGTAAGCACAAACTAAAAGCATACCAAAAAAGCTGTCATTAATGCCACCATTCAGAAATAACACACGGTAAATACTGGAATACATGCTCCCAGAATAATTTTGGTTAGAAGAAGTTGTGGTTGTTTTTAGAAAGCCTATTAGAGTTGAAATAATCAGGGTTCTAAAATCTGACATACACCGGTTCAAGTTCTGACCTGCTGTTTGACTATTCTAAGTCCCTTACAGTGACCTCATGTTTCCTCATCTGTAAAACTGAGATAAGAGTTGTTTCTACCTCCCAAAGTTAATGTGGGAATGTAGCTCAGTGCGGGGCATGTAGGAAACACTTACTAAAATGTTAGCTGTTAAAACTGTTATTGAGAGCATATTATAAAAGCTGTTGCATTTACTTTAAATCCAGATATTGTATTTAAAGAATATATCTCAAAACAAAACAAAACAAAACAAAACAAAACTGTCCCTATGGAACATTGTGTGGATTCAGAACTCTTGGAAGCCAGAGCCTCCTGCATCTTGTCTTTATATTCATATTCTGAAAGTAGCACTCATGCACACCAAGGCTTACAGTTTGCATTTATTCTAATCACTTCTTCTACAGCCCCGAGTGCCCCTCCACAGTCTGTCACTGTCCTGACGGTTGGAAGCTACAATAGCACAAGTATTAGTGTTTCCTGGGATCCTCCTCCTCCAGATCATCAGAATGGGATTATCCAAGAATACAAGGTAGGACCAGGGTACAGAAGGAAAGCTCTCATATAAAGTTTCCCAGAGAAATGTCAGTGTCTCGCTCTAAAGGGTCTCTTATTCAGTTTAAGTGTAAAGTTATTATTTATATTTCTGTACGACAGAGAATGAGGCAAATACATAGGTGTTAGAACCTGAGTTCAAGGTCACAGATCACACAAACCCAGTTAAATGATTAAGCCACACTAGTGAAATGGGTTTCTGTATAGTGTGATTCTAGAATCTCAAGAATTTAAAAAGATGGGGCACAGGGTTGGTAGTGAAGACCAGAAAATGAGTTTTATCTTTGTTATTAGAATTCTGCAGAAGGGGCTTTTTTAAACCATGTTCTGTTTAAAAACCATGGGCTGTTTTTAAACCATGCTCAGAAAAAAAAGATGCTTCAGGGGTTAAAGAGGTGGAGTGGGTTGCAGGCAGCACCAACTCTCACTCTAGATGCTACTTTTGTGTATTTATTGAAGTTGTATAGAATATTTCACTTCAACAAAAGCCACTGAAACAACACATTTTACAAATACTGACTTACAGAGAAACGATTGTCTCATTTTCAACTGATGAATTTTTGGCTGTTTAGAAACAGTGCATATCTCTTGTTTCATTGCTATCATTTGATGTTTGAGGCAGAGAGTATGTCTGAGTTTTCAAAATAAGATTCTGTTTGTGTTGTGTTTAGAACACATTTGAATGAAAAACCCCTCATTAATCTTTGTAAAATTCAAAACTATAATTTATTAATAGGTGATCTGTTAGGATTATCTATTAATAAATCTTTCTAAGTTTCTGAAAATAGCCTCTTCTATACCTCTAATACAAAAAAAACTAGTCACCCATTTCCCCTAAAAACAATCATAGCTAGTATTTACTATTAAGCTGAATAATTTTACTCAAAAGTTTGAAGATTAAATTTTATTTCTAAGCAGAAATTAATTTCTACATAGAATTTTATTAAAGATCAACTTGCTAAAGCAAATTAATGAACTAAATGTATAGGGATTTATTTTTAAATGATTTCTATCATGTTATAAAGATGAATGCTTAAGAAACATAAGAATAAATGCTTTTATAATACAGTAGTTATATAGATCCTAAGATTTTATAAGCATTAGGACATTGTTTTAACAGAGTAACGAATTATCAACTCTATGTGAGTTTGAGTGTGTGTGTGGGTGTGTTTTATTGAGGTTAGGAATTTATTTTGTACCATTTGGGACTAAATATCCTAAATTTCCATGTAGTTAAATGTTGTTCCTGTTTTTACAACATGATGAATTTTTTTCTGTAAGTTGTAAATGTTCTCACTCTCCAGAGACTTGCTATATTTTGGTTTCCAAGTGCATATTTAGGTAAGGGCTAAATATTCTTTCATTAAGAACACGGATGTCATATATAAATAAAAGATACACATGATTCACAAGAATTATTTTACTGAAAACGATTTGGGAGCTTACCTGCTCTGAAACAAATCATATGTTTTCCTATGTATGTGTCTACATGTAGATTTTAAAATAGTATATAATATGAAAGCAAATATGGATACACAATGGATTTCTTTTTATAACACATTTTGTAGTAACAATTTCCACATCCCAGAAGATGCCCGAAAATTTGATTCCTACTTGAAATAAAAGCCTAACTTCCTTAACATCAACGTCTAAAGACTTGACACCACTTTGTTCTCATGAATGTGTATGTGTGTGTGTAGATATGTGTTGATCAATATTAGATTTATTGCTGTCAATGTAAATATTGGCTTTAATTTCATTTTAGTCAATACCTATAACCTAGGTCAATTAATCTTGTTAACCACTTCTGTGTAAGTTAGTATTTTCTTAAATGAAATGTAAATTGCTTAGATGTCTACCTATATACTTTAGATATTACAACTTATAATCACCATATTTTAGTGGATTATATGCATAATAAATTTTGATAAAGCAGAGGAAATTACATGTTTTAATCCATACAAAAATGCCATTTGCAACCAAAGACCACATACCAGAGGTGTTAAAGAAATCACTGTGCTTTCTAAATTACCCCTTATGAGCCTTCAGTGCTGAGAATAGGATATAAATGAACATGGCATAGTTTCAGCTTCCCTTATTGTTCTTCTTTTAATACAGATGCATGTGTGCACAAATACACTTACATATACACATATAAATAAATGGCAGAGGTTGGGCTTTAGAAGATGTCATTTACAAAACTTCTACTAGCCTAGAAGACAGGTTATGATTCAAAAATATTTCATCTGTTATATTAGTCTTGTAACTAGAAATGATAATATTATCTGCATGCATTATTCACTTTCCATTTCTATAGATCTGGTGTCTAGGAAATGAAACGAGATTCCATATCAACAAAACTGTGGATGCAGCCATTCGGTCTGTAATAATTGGTGGATTATTCCCAGGTATTCAATACCGGGTAGAGGTTGCAGCTACTACCAGTGCAGGGGTTGGAGTAAAAAGTGAGCCCCAGCCAATAATAATCGGTGAGTATCAAACTATGTGATCTGTGCTTTAGAATCACTCAACTGTCAAGGTGGATGTGCTTTTGCATCAACATACTAATAGTGAATATACACTTATGAATGATAGGATACACATATCATATAGGCAAATGGGTTAACTGAAGAGGACTTCTTACAAAAATGCTTGGTGCAATTGATCATGCTCTTAAGAAAAGTCCCAGAGCCTTTTTAAAATTACAGTATTTAAGAGTTTAAATGCTGAAAGATAGTTTAAAAATTATTTTTAATTAATTGCCTCATTACCAACTTTGGTGCCATTGAAATATAATAGAAATTAGAAATTTATTGAAGAGAGACCATCATGTTTCCTATCTATATGCTTCCTCTTAGCCAGAGAAATGTCAAAAATTAACAAGAAAAAGGCCAGAAGAAACTTTGTAATCTAAATATCCTATCCCAAAGAAGAAATTATATTAAATCTAGTATCATGATTGCATAAATGTTTTCCTATTATCATAGATTATGTTTGTCTGTTCTTGAGATGTATATAAATGGAATCATACAGAATGTGATATTTTGTATTTGGTTTCTTTCACTAAAGATAATGTTTTTGAGATTCATCCATGTATTTATATTCAGTTCATATATTTTATTGCTGAGCAGTATTCAATTGTATGAATATGCCATATTTTGTTTATCGGCTTTTCTCCTGATAGAATGAATATTATTGTGTAAATCTTTGTGTCCTTTTGGAGTAATACCTAAAAGTCTAACTTCTGGGTAAAAGGGTTGCATAGTTTGACTTTATAAGAAACTGCTAAACAATATTTAAATTACTGTATAATTTCATACTGCCACCAGCAAGGAAAATGACTTCCAGTTTCTCTACATTTTCACAAACATTTGTTGTTTCCAGTTTTTGTGATTTTAGCCATTCTAGTTGGGGTAACCTGTGATTTTAACTTGAATTTTCTTTTAGGACTAATGATGTTGGGCAACTTGGCAGGTGCTTATTGGCCATTCACATATTTTCTTTTGTGAATTGACCACATATTTGCCTTTTAAAAATTGGATTGTCTCTTGTTACTGATGAGTAGGAGTTACTTATACATTCTGGATACAAGTTCTTTACTGTGTATATATATATAACACATATTTTTCCCAGTCCATAACTTCCCTATTCATTTTCTTAATAATGTCATTTGATGAACAAAAGTATTACATTGTGGCTTACCTCTAGATACTTAGGTGTTTTTTTTTTTGTTTTTTTTTTCTTTTTATGTTTTCTTCTAGAAGCTTTATAATTTTAGCTTTTATGCTGAGGTCTATAATTCATCTGAGGGTAATTGCATGTGGTTCAAGAAATCAGGCTTGTTTATTTCCATATGTATATCAAATTGTGTACTTATCATGTATTAAAAAGATTTTCCTTTCCATCAGTTAATCATATATACATGCCTGCATTCCTGGATTCCCTATGGGATTCAATTTGTTTATATGTCTATCCATGTGCCAAACCACATTGTCTTGGTTACTATAGCTCCTAGTAAGCCTTGAAATCAGGTAACGTGAATACTCCATCATTTTTTTCTGCAAAATTATTTTGGTTATTATAGGCCTTCTGCTTTTCCATATACTTTTCAAATCAGCTTGTTGATATCTCTAAAAATATGTTGAATGATAAGTGCAAATGCAGTGAATCAATCCATCAAAGTGGGTAAATATTTTAATAACAACGCTCTTTCCAGGAATGCGATATATGTTTTCATTATTTAAGTTTTCTTTACTTTTTTCCAATATTATACAGATTTTCGTGTGTCACCATATTTGTGGAGCATTTGATTTTGTGTGTGTGTTTTGTTTTGTTTTTACTTTCAGACATAGTTTCACTCTCTTGGCCAGGTTAGAGTGCTGGAGTGCAGTGGCGTGATCTCGACTCAATGCAGCCTTCACCTCCTAGGTTCAAGTGATCCACCCACTTCAGCCTCCTGAGTAGCTGGGACTATAGGTGTGCACCAAAAAGCTAGGCTATTTTTTTGTGTTTTCATTAGAGACAGGTTTTCACTGTGTTGGCCAGGCTGGTCTTAAACTCCTGACCTCAAGCAGTCTGCCTGCCTCAGCCTCCCAAAGTGCTGGGATTATAGGCATGAGCCCTTGCCATGACCTATTTGACATTTTTTACACTATTATAAATGAGTTTTTTAAATTTATTTTTCCAATTTTTTTATATTTCACATAAATTTAATTTCTATATGGCTTTTGTGCTCTGTGACCTTACTAGCTCTCTTACTCATTTTAGTAGTTGTGAAACTTTTCTTAAGTGTTTTCAGATAATCATGTTTTCTCTCTGCTTGTTTGTGTTAATGTGATGAAATATATTGAATGATTTTAAAAGATAAATCAACCTTGTATTCTTGAGATAAACCACAATTGGTCATGATATATTATCCATTTTATAGATGTTGCTGAATTTACTAATATTTGGTAAAGAATTTTGCATCTATGTTCATTAGGAATATTGATCTGTAGTTCTCTTTTTCCAGTTTTGAAATCAGGTGGCTGGTTTTACAAAGTAGTTTGGGAAGCATTCCTTCCTCCTCTAATTTCTGTAGAAGTTTTTTAGTACTAACATTATCTCTTCCTTAAATATTTTCTAGAATTCAGTGGCGATATCTATGTTTTTCTTTGTGAATTTTTAAAAATATATATGAATTCAAGTCTATTCAGAATTCATATTTCTGAGACTGAAGTGGGTGGATCACTTAAGGTCAGGACTTTGAGACCAGCCTGGCCAATATGGTGAAACTTTGTCTCTACTAAAAATACAAAACTTAGCCAAGTGTGGTGACAGGCCCTTATAATCCCAGATACTTGGAATGCTGAGGCACAAGAATTGCTTGAACCCACCTGGGAGGGGAAGGTCCAGTGAGCCAAGATCATACCACTGCATTCCAGCTGGAACAACACCACAAAAAGAAAAAAAAAAAAAGAAGAGAGAAAAGAAAGGAAAAAAGAATTTGTATTTCTTCCTGTGTTGGTTGTGGTAAATGGATGTTTTGTTTTTTGACCAGCAATGACTTTCTCTAATCCTTCTAAGTTATTGAATTTATTAGCATGTGATTGTTTACAATATTCCCTTGTTATCATTGAATGTCTGTAGGCCATAGAGTAACGCCACCTCCTTTATTCTTAAATACTGGAAACGTATGTGCACTATCTCTCTTCCATTTTTTTCCTCTCCTCCCTCCTTCCTTTCTCTGCCTCTCTTTTTCCTATTTAAATCAGTCTTGATAAAGATTTGTCAATTTTATCAATCTTTTCAAGATGCAAATTTTTGGCTTTGTTAGTTTTCTAATTGATTTCTGCTATTTTTTCTTCTATGTACTTTTATTTATCTCTTAAGATCAAACCGTAAATCAATGATTCCAGACCTTTCTTATTTTCGGGGTATTTTAAAGTTCTAAATTTTCTTCTAAACATTTCTACAGCTGAATCTTACAAACTTTGATTTGTTATGTTTCCATTTATCATGGAATATAAACAATCTTCTACTTTTTTCAACAATTTCTGTTTTTTCATAGAGGTTATTTAGAAGTGTATTATTTAATTTCCAAATGTTTAGGGATTTTTCCAGGTATCTTTTTGTTTTTTATTTCTACTTTGATTCCTCTCAGGCCAGAGTCCCAGAGTAATTTTTCTCTGTGTAAATTTAGTCTTTTAGATACAGAGAGTTATTTTATGGCCCAGCATTTGATCTTAGTGAATGTTTCTTATGCACTTGAAAAGTATTTGCATTTCTCTGTTTTTTTTTTTCAGTGGGAGGTTCTATGTCAGGTCAAATTATTTGTTAGTATTAACAGGTCTGTATTTTTTTTTTATTTGCCCTCTCAATTACTAAGAATAGAGTCTGGAAATCTTTTATGATTGTAGATTTGCGTATCTCTTCCTTCCATGTATAAGTTTGTGTTTCATGTTTTGGCTACTTTTTTTCACGTGAGTATGTTTTAAGATTGTTCTATCTTCTTTTTAAATTTACCCTTTATTATTGTGAAATGCCCTTCTTTATTCCTAGTGAGATTCCCTGTCCTAAAATTAACTTTCTCTGATATTAGTATAGCTACATCACCTTATTGTAAGTGTCTGCATCGTTTGTCATTTTTCATTCTTTTATTTTAACCCGTTTATCTGTATTTAATGCACAGGTCTATTAAATTGCATATTTTTAGGTGATCTCTGCTCACTGCAACCTCTACCTCCAAGGTTGAAGAGATTCTCCTGCCTCAGTCTCCTGAGTAGCTGGGACTACAGGCACCTGCCACCACACCCAGCAAACTTGTGTATCTTTGCATACACTGGGTTTCTCCATGTTGGCTAGGTTGCTCTGGAACTCCTGGCTTCATGTAATTCATACATCTTGACCTCCCAGGCAGTCTAGGGTTTGTTTATTTGGTTGTTTTTTTTTTGTTTGTTTGTTTGTTTGTTTGTTTTTTAATTCAATCGAACAATCTTTGCGTTTTTAATTGCATGCACAAAATGTTATCATTAATGTAATTCCTGGTGTGTTTGTTTAGAATTACTATCTTGCTACTTATCTGCTATCTTACTTTGTTACTATCTTCCTAATTTCCTGCTTTCTTTTGATAAACTAACGTTTTAGTATTTTATGTCCACTCTTGGATTATTAGGTACACGTCATTTCTTTGGTGACAGTTGCTCTAGGATATGACTATAAGGATCCTAGAGCAGTGTAATGTCACTCCTTTTTCTCTCATCTTTATTTTGCTATTGTTATACCTTTTACTTCTGTGTAACAAATGGCAATATATGAATCATAGCTCTACTGTTTTTTTCCTTAAACATCAGTTATCTTTCAAATCAATTAAAAATAAAAAGTGCATTACTCATATTTATCTGGTATTCTACTCCATAAACTCAGTCCCCTCAGCTTCTATGAGTGCTCAAGACTTTTCAACTCAGGGATGCCATTCAGCAATGTTTGGGTTAGGCTTGGCTGCATCACA